AACAAAGAATATTAAAAATTGTTGGAAAATGGGCGTAGCCACGCCCACTTATGGTTACATGTGTATATCTTGGTAACCGCTGCACCAATTTCTTCCAAACTTGGCACAGTTGTTGGCCTTGGTACAGCATAAAAAATCGCCGAAACTTTTTAAAATCGGACAATAACCACGCCCACATCCCATATAACGGTAATTTAGAGAAATACAAAATCTTCGATAAATCAGTAAATATTGAAGCTAATTTATTCAAAATTAATACTTGCAACAATTATTTACCAAGAAATACGTTTATGGTAAAATTTTGCAAAATGGGCGTGGCACCGCCCACTTATGATCACATATATGTATATCGGTAACCGTTCTACTTATTTGTACCAAACTCGGTGTGGTTATTGTGCTTGCCACATATAAGCAAAACATTGAAAATTATTGAAATCGAACTAAAATAACGGCCGATTCTCATATAACGGTAAATTTCAGAAATGCTTGAAACTTCAATATTTCGAAATTGAAGGACGCTAATTTACTCAAAATTGATACATCCCGGCTTACCATCTAGCGGAAGGTTTCGGAAAGGTGAAAAAACCTATCTTTAATACTTGCGCCGGGTATTTAATGTTCGGCTCCGCCCGAACTTAGACTTTCTTACTTGTTATAAATGGGATGCTTTTAAGCGATCTTGCAAACAACTTTTAATTAAGTGCAAAGCAATAAATAATACAGGTAAATTTTTTACAAATACATAAAACTTTATTTATTTTCATTAAAAAAAATTAAATATAATAATGTACATAACTAATATTATATTATATTAACGTTTAAAATATATTGTAGTAATACTAATGCCTCATTCCACGGTAATAACTTCCGAATGAAATGAAAATAAACCTCTAACACCTAAGAATGCCTCAAGACATTCATCATATAATTGCAATTAATTAAAAAATTTAAAGTTTTATTGTCAAATGAATCTTTTTTGGCAGTTACTAACAAACGTACCAAAATATTTGCAGAAGCCTTGGCAACTCTTAGATGCATTCTAACGGTACTTTTCTTTTGATTTGCAGAGCACATATGTTTTTTCAGTGAAAAGTTTTGTCTGTTGCTAGTTGAGTTTTTTTCTTACTCATAATTTTTTTCGTCAAAGGTGTGTATACTTAGTAAGAATATCCAGTTGCAGATTTGTGAATACGTGAAAATTGTGCGTTGTAGAAGTGAAATAGCAATGAGTGCATGAGACATTCTCGGGGCTTTGAGCGAAATTTTTTTGTAGGCAGTTATTTCACAACTATTTGCAATTTTCGTGATATTCTGCGTTTGTTTCAAGACTTTTTGCATAAAGATTTTAAAAATAAAATAGAAATGGCAGAGGGAGTGCGTAAACGCTACAAGTTATCGGATTTGAGCGATGAACAATTACTGGAATTGCTTGATTCAGTCCAATCGGACGAGGAAATATCAAACACATCAAGTGATGATGAAGAGGACGATTTCGATATGACAGAAGCGCTAAACGTAGCATTGGATGATGCTGAAACGGTGTCATTCCTAGAAAATATTGTTGAAAATACTCAAAATACTGTACAGCAACATGCACCTGAAGATACAGGATGCACATCAATGACTTATCCTAAGGAAGATCTTGATGTAGCAGAAGAGCTAAGCGCAGCATCACATATTGGTGGGGCAGTGTCATCGATAGTCAATGCTGTCGAAAATGTTCAAACTAAAATACAGCAGCCTGAACCTGTTTGGAAATTGAGAAAGAGACCTCGATCACCAGTGCCATCAATAGAAGCTACAGCATGCATATCTTCGCCTTCTTTTGGGGGCTTCAATGGTTCTGGTAAGTTTTCATAATTACAAAATACTAAACAATTACATACCCATTTATATAATTTATATAAAGGTATTGATTCGATAACGAAGGATCCAGGAAAAATAATATGGCGAAATCAATCAATGCAGTTACATGTCAATGGCATAGCCTTTCGTGGGAATTCATCACTGCCAGCGGAAAGCCTTGAGCTTGAAACTCCACTACAGATGTTCTGCTACTTTTTTGATGGTGATATAATGAGTATGATTGTTGAGGAAACATTGCGCGCAGCTTTAACCGACAACATCGTAAATCAATTTAAAGTGACTGTTGAAGACATGCACGATTACATAGGTATTTTGATGTATATGTTTTTATATCGCTACCCGAATTTGAAAAGCTACTGGGGAAAAAACTCCTTTGCAGCCGTTAAAAACTGCATGACCAGCAGAGAATTCGAATCTATAAAGAAATACTTCTCACTGTGTGATGAGAGCAAGCGGATCAAGAAGGCTGAGTCTGGGTACGATCCACTGTACCGCTCGCGTACGCTTGTGGGCTTACTTAACCAGAGGTTTGACTCCGTGCCAAAGCAAGTCCGGCTATGCGTCGACGAACAGATGTGCAGCAGAAAAATTAAGCACCACTTGCGGCAAATATGCCCAACAAGCCTCATAAATGGGGTTTAAAGCTATTTGTACTGTGCGATTCTTTTGGCTATGCCTCCCGCTTCGAGATTTACAGCGGCGCAGGAGATAACGTAATCTTGCCTGGTCACCCAGATCTTGGCAGTTCGGCCAACATTGTTGTTCGTTTAACAGATACAGTAGAAAGTTTCAAGCACCATAATGTATATATCGACAATTTTTATACGTCGCTGTCATTGATGGTATATTTACGTGCAAAAGGTATATATAGCCTCGGCACAGTTCGTGTAAATCGGACACCCCATTGCAAACTGCCAAGCGATGATACCATCAAGAAAGAGCCAAGGGGTTTTTCAACTGAGTATGTGGGCTCCTCATATGGTGTAACGTGTTGTGGAAAGATAACAAGGCCGTTGGCTTATTTTCCACGTATGTGGGTGTTAAGCTATTTGCAAGGACAACTTCGGAAGCTTCAGTAGCAAAAACACAAGTTATTCGTGAATATAGGGCTCATATGGTTGGTGTATACCTAATGGACGGACTTATGGGCCGCTATCACATAAGAGCAAAAACTCGGGAAGCCTCTACTCGAATTTTTATCACTTGGTGGATATGACAGCAACAAACGCATATATTTTATACAGACGCATACAAAAAGAAAAAAGCACAGACAAACTGCTTGAACTGCCAGATTTTCGTGAAGCGATTGCTGCTGGTCTGGTGGCTTTTCAAAAAAAAAAAAATTGCCAGGTCGCCCAAGCCGTGATCCGAGTGATCGGAATATGCAGTCGCCATCTTCTCATCGAACTTTACAGACTCTCATCGAACTTTAGAGACAAGTCAAACAAGGCAGTCACCATCCTGAAAGCTGGGGAAAAATCAAAGCATCCAATATCGGACCTGCGGTTTGATCAGCTTAACCATTTCCCGGTTTGGATGGATCGGAATAGTGGAAGGAGGTCGTGCAAGTTATGTAAAACTTCGCAAACACAGTGCATTTGCACAAAATGCTATTTGCACTTATGCTGCACAGCCAGCAAAAATTGTTTTTTTTTTGACTATTACTCAAAAAAATAAAGCTAAACTTATTAGAACACCATAATAAAAATCTGATTTCTTTCCCCTTAAAACCCCAAGAATGCCTTGAGGCACGCATTCATATATTCTCACCTTACAAGAAAATTAAAACTATTACATCATTTCTGAGTTAATATTTGGATTTAGGGGCTAAAAAGCATTTAAGAAAAATATGTTCAACTTTTTTGTATCCATTATTTTAGAAAGTAGTCTTAGAGGGTTAAGAATTTGAGTGTATTACTTCAAGTAAGTAAGAGTAAATAAATCTAACTTTCAAGACTTAAATCCAAAATTTCGAAATTTATCTCAAAATCAGTAATTTTTTTTACTTTTTGTTTTACCATTTACAT